TAAAGAGAGGCAAATTCAACCAATACAGAGGCTACTAAGGTACACTCAGACCAGTTGGTGATCCCCTGGCAACCTGGATTCAATAAATGTTTATTTCTACCCATTGGTAAGTGGCTTCTGCAAGCTGGTGCTTATAACTAGATCCAATCAATCAGAAAGCAGGTGCTGCACAAAAACCTTCATGGAGTTGTTTTGATTGCCGTGTTCGCTGTAGTCTGCATGGATGAGACCGCTTTCTCTGCAAATACTCAAATTTACTCTTCAAGCTTTGGTAAAAAGTTCAACATGAACCAGAAACAGAAAACAAAGTAAAAGTTGTTCCTTACCACTGTTAGCTACACGCTAGAAGAGGCACAAATGTTCGTTTTACTGCCGTGTCTTCAAAATTAACTGCTGGTGACTACGGCAACCAGCTAGTGACCAAGCTAATCACAAGGTGGTGTTGACCGGTGGTTGCCAACAGGTCTCAACATGCTGAGGCCTAACAACACATTGCCTAATGTTGATTAGACTATAAATAGTTATAGAAATGCTGATTGGTTGATAAGCTGGCTTTAGGAGGAAAGGAAAGATCTCAAGAGCTCACCATGAAGAGGAAGAAGCATGAAAGCTAACCATACTGCAACAGTTCACTTCACAAGTGTTTGTCTATTAAGACCACTGTCTTCTCCACGGTAGGGGCTACCCTAAAGGACCGGCAACAAAACAATCATAAGTAGCCACATTACTGCTGCCACATATTTTTAACACTGCCCCAAGGAGACAGTACACAGCTGGAACATGAAAAAGGTGCTCTGCAAAGCTCCATGTAGCATCTAAGGATGCTCCAGATGGATTTCTCTGCTGCAAGTTTCCTTCATTACATTTGTTACTTCAGCTGGACTCCTTAGCTGTCACCTTTTCCCTTTTATTTCAGTATTTTACTAAAATTTATTTCATTTTTGCATTTCTAGTGTCGCTCTATGTCAGATAGAGCTCCTCTCTGGGAGTTAATGTATGCTGGATGAGTTCAACAGACACTGCCAGGTTGAAATTATTCCTTTTGCTAATGAGCTGGGCAAACGATCAGACGAACTCTAATGCCTTTACTTAAACTCTGCTATTGTAGCAGGAATGACCTGAGTGACTTTTGAAGCAGCCACCTCGGGGTGCAATTTCTACTCCGACAGAACATAAGAAAGATCATGAAAGTGATGAATCTTTTTAGAAAGTGTAGGTGACATCCACATTCTCCTTGTGACATCTCTTACTACCGCTGTCTTCAGTGGAATTGGCTAATCAGTGTTACAGAGAACGGAGTCAAGACAAAGAGCTCAGGAACTTTCATCCCGCTGGATAGCCACGCCAGATTTAATCCTTGGTGTCGCAATTGAATTGTGCTTTTGCAGAAAGTGCCAATTAAATCATGACGAGTGAGACCCAGGAACAAAGCACTTAAGCAAATTGAATGAATGTTTCCCAGTCAGAATGAGCTGTCTTTGTGTGTTTGTATTTTTGTTTGCAGGAAGTCAGAATAAGAGCACTGATTAGGCAGTTATAGCTAAAAGGCTTTTTTTTT